TTTTAACCTACAATGGTGAGTAATAGAGTGAGCTTCGAAAAGCTCAGTAATACAGAACTATTAGATGATGCTACATGACATGCAGATAAATGAGAAGCCATAATTTCCTTATTGATCAAACGTATACCAATTGTGGAATAATCTGGGGTTGCATTAGTAGTTCATCGAGTAGAAGCCATGAATCTCAGTTCATAAGAAACCTTTCATACTATCACGTTTTCATGAGGTCGAATATGATGCCTAGTGTGCTCCATCAGTACGATAAAACCATAATAGGTACATTAATTAAATGATAGTTCAATAAAATCCCATAAACCATAATGTAGTGGAGCTTTTTAAACTTGTATTTTAAAACCATCTTACAAAGAGTTAACCTAAGGGAACATCTTAGGGCCTGAGAGCCTACCCAAGATAGATTTCGAGGCCATGGGGCCTATCTAAGAACACATCTTAGGGCCGCAGGGCCTACCCGAGAATGATCTCAGGGCTGTAGAGCCTACCTAAGAGTCACATTAGGTCCATAAAAATTTTCCAGCTTGATCAGAGCTGTACTTTACAAATCTGTATCTCCAAGATACAATTTATACAATGATAAAAATCCATAAGCCATCTCTGTTAAGTCGGTGCATCCATAAAACAGTAACCATAGATTTCAGTGTACCAAATGTTAAAACAATAAAACAATTTTTCAAAATATAAGGAACACACTAGAGAATCCAAATATTTTTCAGATGCATTTTGTAGTTATCAATATGGATACATGAACTTGTGCAATTTGATCGGATTCCAGTAATAAGATCTTATTGAAGAGAATCGATTTCTAACCGATCTAATCAGACATTTCAGATTGATACTTTAAAATTCCACTAAGTTTCTATGTGCATCAGGAAAACGTTCAGGAACCTTTATACATAATAATTCTAAATTCAGATTTACTGTGAGTGATTCCATTACCCAAACAATCAGGGGTATTCAGGAATATACTTTGAATTCATAGGATTTCAGCCCAATTGAACCAAATGAGGTATTCCGAATATTTTCCTTCTGCGTTACTTGCGTTTTCAAACATGACCGAAGTGATTTTAGATGAAAATATAGAATTGAAGATTAAAGTCATTTACAATCTATGACTATCGACCGTATTATTACACAACTCTCAAACTGATGCATGTCAACAAGTCAATTCATTATCCTTCAAGTGTATTCACTCTTTAATACCATAATGCAGATCCATAGATCATCCCCATAATCATCGCTGAATAGATCTCCCAACTATCTTTATTTCATTTCCATGTTTCAACGATATCAAGAAATACGGACGTACTTGATTCATGGTTCATAACCCATAAATATAATTCATCATGTAAGCTCAACAGTGTTTCCAGACTCATCCAAATCACTTATTTAATCTTCATTCATTGAGGTTATTTAGTTCATTTAACAATCATGTCTATTCTTGTAACTTCAGAGTTTTCCAGAGTAATTCAGGAGTTTATGAATTCCAAATACATATTGTATTTCCATTCAGTTCAATTTAGTCATATACTAGAGTTATTCTAGTATTCGTGGTTGATTTATCTTACAGATATTCATTACTTACTATCGAATATGCTCTAGCGTTGAGTACTTCCAAAATTATCATTAATTCAAACTTGAGGAAACGAACAAGCATTCAAGTGGTTTATATGCCATTCAAGTATTGATACAACACTAGCATTGGTTGATCGGCTTAAGTTGCGTTCTATAACCTTTAAGAGCAGTACAACATCCATGTTAATTTGAATTTCTTAAATAATCCAAGACATTTACTTAGTCTAGGACATAAGGGTATTTTGGTCCTTTTTATGCTCAGTGATCTTTCATGTATTTCAAAGCTTGAGGATATCCATTCATTCCTGGCTTGGCGATATTTTTTAATCATTTCCATTACAGAGGTATTTTGGTCATCTTACAGATCTAGAATATTTCAATCATTTTCTTCCGTCCATTCTTATTATTTAATTCAAACTTATCATTTATGTCAGTCCCTTCGAACTATTCTGACAATATATCACCATCGATAAATTATTATTCTTCATGTACTTACTTAAGTCGGAGATTTATAGGTTAAATGCATTCTCAGATGTTACTGACGAATTATCAGGAATTTTCCATACAAAAATAGGATCTCAATAATCAAATCATTAATTTATCGGTTTAAAAACAAATTTTCATGTTACTTTCTCATTCAGAGTCAAATTGGACTATTTTTACCTCTCAAGGGCATTTTCATAATTTCTTAACCAGATGATTTCAGTATTAACTCTTAACGAAAATAATTATACTTTAGAGATCCAATGGTTAATTGCTTTCCCGAACATTCTTTGATCTTGAAATGATTCTTTAACCGACTTCTAGTATCTTGCACAAACCCTTTTGGGTTTAAAAACCAGTTATCCATATTTCCTAAGCAAAACTAGCATTTCTTATGCACATATGAAATTTTACCGAATCAATATGTCTTTACAGAGTTATTAACCAACTTCCAGGGACAATTCTTGTCATCTTACAATATAATGGTATTTTCGTAATTTTATCCTACCGAAGTATTTTCATAATTTCCCATCCAAGTACCTTTAACATTTAACCTTTGATGATATAAAATATAAGTTACAAATCCAGAGCTGATTTCTTTATCACCAATCACAAACTTGTAATTTAATTCTAACGATTCATCAATCTCTTATATTAGTCATTCGATCTGTATTCAGTTACAGAATTTCTACCACATTCATATCGAGTGTATAACTTATTCAACTCCACAAAAGTGATCAACATTATCTTATTCATGCATTTACCAATATCAACATGTTCCATAAAGCATAAAGAGGTAATAAAGTATTACCTCGATTTCTGTGTCATACTGATCGACCATATAAATTCCATTCGAACACCGTTGATCTTTAATTCAACTTCCAATATTTCCTCAAATACATAACAATAAACATTTCATCAAAAACAGGCTTAATTCCGAAAAACGGATCGAATCGGGTGATTAATCAGTGAAAAATAACTTACCGATTTTGAATTTGGCGAAACAGACCTCGAAATCAGAACACCAACAAAACTCAAAATATTAGTCTTAAATTCCAGCTCACCAACTTGATTTCTAGCTTCCAATCTTTTTCTAACGAACACGGATAATCTATCGTACAAATATGATTTCCATTAATTTTCCTTGTCATAATAAAAATAACTTATTAGAATTTAATTAATAATTTGGAAACCCAATTTGCATAACTAAAATCTTGAAGAGCTAGTGATATTTAATTGCTAACATCATGGACTAAATTGATTTTTATTTAAACCATTATGCCATAATCATAATAATACGGAAGCTAAAAGACAAAGTTAAATTTTTACCAAACTTGGATAACTCAGCTTGTAATTTACCCCTTTAGCACTTTGTCAACTAAAACCCACGTGATTTGCTCATTCATCCTTTACCAGTTTTGAAGGCTCAGGCATTGGACTTTCCTTTACTCGAGTGATTACATCGTCCACATCTTTTCTCACTTCCTTCACTTATATCACAAATCTAGATTTGTTCTTCTTTTCGATCAATTTCACCGCTCGTTAATCGTCTTGAAATGATCATAACCATCTTGAGCAACAATTACGTTTGGTGTAGGCTTGGATTCCTACAACAGTCTCTTTTCAGTTAAATGAATCCAAGCTGAGAACTCTGACGATGCAAACCCAAGCAGCCTACGATGAATTGGAATATTGAAATCAGTCAACAAACCTAGGATTTTAGTAACTATGACCAAACTGTTGCTGGCAAATTTACTTGAGTTCTGCATGATGGCTCTGAGTTCTTGGACAAATATGGCGTTGAAGTGCTCTGTAGTGTTCAGTTCCTTCAATTTCTCTAATTAAAACCAAGTCATCCCAAAATATCTTTAAAACATGTGGTTCTCCATTTCCATATTATAAAATTAATAATAAAAGAATTATTTATTTTCAATCATTTCTTTCAATCATTCACCCCTCCATCACTTCATATTATTTTATTATATGAATGGAGATTGTTGTTGGTGAATGACAAAGCAATATATTTCTTTAATTGATTTTAAGCTTTGGTGGACACAAAAGCTGCCCGAAAATGAGCTGAAAATTCCAACCAAAATGATAATGCCATTATCTTTAATTTTCATAGTGGACCCAAAATTTTAATTTGACTACTACTTAAATCACATATCTTAATATGAAAGAAATCTAACCTCATATTAGGGTGTGACAATATGCATTTGTGCCCAAATCATTTTTTTTGGAGTAGTTCTACCCACAATGTTTGATTATGAGGCATAAGTTCCTCCGTTAGATGGAATCCGTCACTCAACTGACGGTCAACAGGTCCATCTGACGTGGCATGCACATGTGGTCATCGATTATAACGTGACATTTCCACGTCATTATTTTTTGCTGACGTGGAATTACACGTAGATCCAGATACTGACGTGACATGCACAAATCATCATAGATGATGAAGTGGCAGTGCCACATCAGTTTTTTAAATAAAAATTAAAATATTGTTTCTAATATTTATATATTTTTATTTAGTATTTTTTATCCAATAAAATGACACGTGTCAATAACTTATGGTTTATATTTAATCCAAACAAAACTTGCTTTTGAGGGAATTGAACCTGAGCCAAAAGCTTGAAACCCGTCACCAAACCACAGGCCAAATCATTCATTTGGTTATCTTTTGCATTACAAAACATTTAACATATACGTTATGTCTCTCACACACACATTTTATCAAACACTTGGTGCACTTGGTGAATGCTTACAGAAAAATTGCTATAAATTCACAATTCAGTTTGATAAGTCACCATTAAACTTAAATGATTCAGTTTGAACTATTAACTTAATTTAACAATTCAGTTACTTTTATGAAATTCACAATTAAACTATACAAGCGTAATTCAGAAAGAATTACAGAATGAAATGAAGTCTTAAACCAAGTTAACTCGACTCGAACAATAAAAAGAAAGAATAGAACCAAACGAATTCTTGGACTCAACACTTACATATTCCGGGAAAACATTCATATACATCTCCATGAAGGCCAGGGCTAAAACAAGCACGTCACTGAGTTCATGGTTTCTGATGGAACAGTTGTGACAACATCTACAACTATCTGTATCACCACCAGAACAAGGATAGGATAGCCTGTGTCGAGTCTATCAGGCTTGCCGTGCATTGTAATGCTCTCGAGCTAAAATCATACGCAGAGATCACAGATATGTCCGTTTCGCCTACACTACCTCATGGGTAATACTCTTTAAAATGTTATACTTGCAGAGAGGACATGTAGCATTGATATGCAGCCACTTATCTACACAGGCACAGTGAAAATGGTGACCACAAGGAAGTTCCCTTAACTCAACGTCGTCGTCGTAAGCAGAAAGGCAGATGCAACATTCCTACGAATTAACCCAATAATGAAAAACCAGTTCGGTTTCAGCTCAGCAACGGTAGAGGAGAAAGGAAATAAACAGCATAAAAAAGGAGATTATCTTACTGCATCATCCTCGGAAAGCACTCGTTCCATGGGGGAATCAATACCACATTCAGTAATTACACCTCCAACAGGTCCTTCGACATCACCGGCAAATTTCTCACCCTTGCCAATTTTTCGAAATTTGTATATTGGCAACTGATCAATGTCCTCCTTCGAAGCTCCTTCCTGATGCAAGAGGCCATATGAAACCAGTAAAAAGGAAAGCATACCAAAAAGGAAAAGATGAAAAGAAATCCAAGTAAATCCATCCAACTGCCAAGAGCCATACAACTTCAGGATCCGTAAATATTTAACTTAAATGTGCTCAACTAAATCCTGTTGTTCAAATGCAGCAAATTCTTTACTTTGAAAGTGCTTGAAGGATCATCAAGTAAAATACAACATTCAAAATGTGTATCAGACACCATTAAATTGTCCAAACTCCATTGTGATCATACAATTATCCGGGTTGAATTAGATTCAGATTTAAAGCTCGAAATACATGCAATAACACAAAGAGGCCTTCCCCATACTAACTAGGTGATTATAAGTAAATCTGGGATGTTTACCTCCATTAACCATCTCGTTACAAAATTAGATATTCAAGAACAAAAATCAAGTATCAAATGCGGACAAACATATTAAAGAATCTATACGAAAATGTCAATTCTAAACGCAAGAGGGTGTGAAAGTTACCTGATCTGCCACAGCATACAGGATTGCAATAATACATGGAAGACAGCAGCAAACAGCAATGCCTATGATGCATGCCAATGCAACACAGAATACAATGAAGAACACATCAAAACCAAGAAACACTACACAAAGCCTGAAAAGAAAAATGCGTTTTAAGAGTTAGGATCCAATTACCGGGGAGCAACTTCGAACTCCCAAACAAATAAAAGCCAGGACAAGGGGCACAAGAACTTACCAATAAAGCTGGGGGGAGCTACGAACCATTGTTTCGCCACCTACAGATACCCCGTAGAATCCGATGATCCACCAGATGAATGAAAACATATTATTTGCAGATTCCAGGAGCTTTGCAACACTGCTGAAAACATTTTCAACTGATTAGCTACTAAATTGGGTCTAAAGTATCATATACAACCTAATCTATAATAGGTGAGATTAATATATCCAAAATACACCATAAAATTGAAATAATATGCCCCCAAAATTCCCAACACTTAATTCAACTAATGTGAAATGCAAGTGTGGATTTTCAACACATTACAGCTTCAATGTATGAGACAAATTTGCACAGCTTAACCATGTAATATCGAGTAAGTAAATTAAAATTCGAAATCTCCGTCAAATTCCTAATTGCATTCTTGACATCATAACGAAACATGTTCCAAGTTACACTTTGCCTGATGAGGCCTAAAACCCATTTATTCCAATTACCAATATGACATACAGCTTCTTGAATTCACCTACATATCCCCACAGCTCAAAAAACCATGATTGCACTTGCCACCAAAGAAACAATATCTTCCATCTCAACCCACCAATTAACCAATAAGAAGCAGTGTATAAAAAGGAATCCAACACTATCATTAAGGCTTTGCTTTGTATGAAGGATGGAAACGAGGAAATATGGAGAATTTGTTAACCAAATGGTTAAGATTCAAAGTAAGACAGTGGTTATTAATCTTAACCTTTTGATTAAGCAATTTTCCATCCTTCCCCTTTAGTAACAAGAAAAGCCTAAGTTCTTAAACTCATTGAATACCAGTGAAACTCTTAATCAATATAAATATATACCTTCCACTATCCTCTTCCAGATGAGCCAAAGTTACGTAGTGCTCCGAATCTACCCTCAACCGTGGGCTCAAAGCCCCTTCATCTCCTGCATTAAATGGGCTGTACTCCACGCTCCGTTTCCGCCTCCGCCGCCTATACTCAACACAAACGCAGACCATATGCAATAAACACTGCAATGCATACCCAATTATCCACAGTCTCAGCGGCATGATCGGTCTCTCCTTCCAGCTCAAAACCAAAACCCCAACCGCCGCAGCTGCGAACGTGAAATTCCAGATAACATCGAGGACCACCGCAGGCTTCGAATACGCCCAATCGCTATGCCGCTCCTCGAGCTGCTCGGCAGCGGTTTCTCTAACCAACATGGAAGGCTCACGCATCAGTCTTCGGCTGCTGGCTCGGCGCAGGAACCGAGATGCTTCCCGAAGCCTCTGGCCGCGCACGGATCCACAAGAGGAACCGTCCCGTGATACGATATTTTGTGACGAGAGGAACTGCGTCGTCGAAGCCATATGTGGGATTTCTCAGGGGGAAAAAATTCTAAAATATTTTCAACATAAACAAAAACAATAGAATTTCAAATGGGTATTCAATTTAATGCCATGGGGGAAACATTAACGGCAATCTTTCAAAGAATTTGGCGAATTAGAGCTCTACTGAATGTTGGAGATGATGAATCTGAGGATGTTGAAGGTTGTCTCTTTTATTTCTTGGGGAAGGTTTAATTTATCCGGTAATATTTGGTGCAGTTATGCGGTTCGTGTCATTCATCGTTAGGTGTATTTGAAAACCCAGTTGTCTATAAACGACAATTTTTTAAAATTAAAATATAAATATGCGGGGAGGTTATACTGGCCAAGAGAGCCTCCCTAGGGACACGTGGGAAAGGCGCGCTTGGCCAACAAAACCTTTCCTCAACGCTTCTTTTTTCTCTCTTTTCTTTATAACTCTTTACAAAATTATGTTATTAATTATTATATTTTTTGCATTTAGCATTATTTTATGCATTTTGATTTGGTCCATTTTAATTTATGTAACTTTTAAAATTTTAATCATGATACAAATATAAATCTACAAAGACTACTTATTTTATTCATTTACCTGGAGATAGTCGGATGATTTGGACATGACCTCAAAGGGTTGTTTTGTAAATATAAATTAAGATTTGAGGTGAGTCGGGTCAATTTTTTTTTTTTAAATATAAGCTATAGAGTCAGGTCAAAATTATGTTTAAAATAAAAAAGTTACGACCATGCAACAATCTTAATTTGATTTAATCGTAAATTAGACTAGATATATCGCATTAGTTGATCAAAACTTAATCATAACTAAGTCAAAATATTTTATAATTTAGAGATTAACTTAAAATTTAAGTGTTAGTTTCAGAGTATTTGGTGGAATTAACCCAAGAGAAAATAACTCACTGAAAAGCAAATATGGCCCACAATCGAGTTGGTTTGGTAATCGACGACGCCGTTTAGTACGGTTAACGGGTGTGTTTTAAACTCCATCCAAAGCCTTCCATAACCATAACCGCATTTAAAAAATTCTCCAAATTCAACGAAGAACAAAAGATAGAAAATACTGCTGCAAATGGGACGATTGGCGCGATTTCTCATCTACGTTACCAGTCTTCTCTTCCTCCAAAATAATGTTATTTCAGTCGAGATCCTTTCGAAATCGAAGCTTGAAAAGTGCGAGAAAAGTACGGGCTCCGACGACAAACTGAGTTGCACCACCAAGATCGTCATCAACATGGCCGTTCCTAGCGGTTCCGTAAGTGAACTATTTTTTTTGCTCCTTACCTTCGTTGTTTAGTTTTTTTGTTTCTTCTTAATATGATGTTTATGCTTTCTCCAGAGTGGCGGCGAGGCGTCGGTCGTGGCGGAAATTGTAGAGGTGGAGCAGAATTCTACGAATAACATGCAGACGTTACGGTTTCCGCCAGTTATAACGGTCAACAAATCCGCTTCATACGCGCTCTACGAATTAACATATATTCGAGTGTGTTCTTGAACAACAAAAATAAAAACATTGTACATCTTATTTATATATTTATTTATTTTTTAAATTGAGGGAAAATTGAAAGAAAAGATCGGGGAGATAGTAAAGAAAGAATCTCTCATTTTCAAATTTGCATTTTTATTGAACGATTTGGTTTTTCAGGATGTTTCTTATAAGCCTCAAGAGTTTTTTGCTAAGACACGCAAATGTCAGCCGGATGCTGGGGCTAGTGTTGTCAAGATATGTGAGAGGTAAGAAGCTGTTTTTGATTTAATTTTTCTGATGTTTAGTGTGTATTAAAATTGATGCATGGACATGAAAAATGAAGTGATATTGACTGATTTCCAGAAACCATTTTGTAGGTTGCGCGACGAGCAGGGTCACGTCATTGAACATACTCAAGTTGGATTTTCAACTTTTAAGTATCATTTTGAGTGGAATTTAATATTATGTTGAACTTAGCTGTTGCTTAGTTGTTCATATTGTTATTACAGACTGCCTAATTACTTCGTTACTTTTGTCTTTGCCATGGTAGTAAAAATATTTTACTTTTGCTTGCTTAACTGTCATATTTCTTGAAATGTAGTTGTAAATTTTACTTTACAGTTCTTTTTTGACTATTTATTTGTCTTTCGGATCCTCTATCCTTCTTGTTTAGCCTATTTGCTGTCCTTGCGGCCCCCGAAGGCGGGCACCTTCATCTTGTGGAAATATCTGTAAGTGCTCTCTGTGTATTTCAGCACTGTCAAATTTTCTTTTGGATGTAGGATTTTCTAGAATCTGATTGTTCTTTCCCTATCTTTACATTTGGGCAGTTGACAAATTGATAAAAGGAAAGGCCAATACTGCTCATTGTCTCCGATTCCCAGGTGATTGGTATGGCCTTCACTAGCGTTCTGTTGGTTACATATTTTGTCTTTTTGAGTTGTTATTTTTCTTGCTGGACCACCACCTTCGTCGTCAGTAGTCAATGACAAAACTTGATAATAAATCATTTTCAAACTTGTTTTTTCCCCTATAATGTCAGTAAAATAGTTTTTTCATAAAAGAAATTTCGAATAAAAGGAAACTAGAGAAATATAATGGAACTGATTTCTATTAGGTAGGTGATCCGTGATTAATGATGGCATTTGGCACTCTTTTTGCTACAATGTCTCGAATGTTGATAAAAGGAGCAACTGCTAACTTTCTATCTACTTAGGTTCCATGTTTTTGGCATTGGGCAGCAGTCAATTGGGTTTAGCGTTAGAATTGAGATGAAGACAGGAAATAAAGTTTCGGTATGTAGTGCCTCATATAATTTTTCAGATGCTTATTGAAAGACTTCCTTTTTCAGTTGTAAAACGCATATCTTATTGATCAGGTATAACCTTGGTTGTATATTGGTTTGTAGTTTCACGTAATGATGTTAGAATTGTATACAATTGATGTATGAACTGAACTGAAAGGAATTTAAAATTTCGTAATAGTAACTTACCTTTCAAATAAATTAATGTTTGCAGGAAGTTATTGTAGGGCCTGAAAACAGAACAGCAACATCCGCTGACAAATTTCTAAGGGTCAATCTTATTGGAGATTTTGTTGGATATTCAAGTATTCCTACATTTGAGGACTTCTACCTGGTCATTCCAAGGCAGGTCAGCTTGCTTAGAGGATACTGTTATGACTGTTATACGCAAGAATGATATAATCCTGCTAGTAGACACATTTTAGACAATTTAGTCATCTTGTTAATTACTTTGAGAAGGCTTTTTCCTTAGCATTTGACAAGAAGATGATGAATTAATATTATCAGGTTGTTTGCCCTATTTCTGTACTTACAACATAGCGATCATATGTTTTTTACAGCTTAATTTGAGGCCAAAAAATGATTCTCTTAAAATTCTGCAAATATATGACCGTTGAACAATTATTATGATTTAAAACACGCAAATAAATGGCAATTCTTAAAATTGGTGATGGAGTTTGAATTGGAATTTAGAACCTTTTATAGGCATTAATTGGGTTTCCCGGTTTTATCTTCTCATTGTTTTTATAGAAGGTACATGCTTATAATAAATGTTAGCGTATATTGTAATGAGTTCTTGTTGAGCATGAGAAGTATTCCAACTAGCAGCCAGTTGTGCTCTTTATTCTACTTTTTTCTTTTTAGTATGGGAGATTGGCTACAATATGCATGGCAATGTAATTTGATTATGTTGTTTCAGAATTTTGCTGGATATCTGTTTACTGTTATTTTGGTGCATATTCGGTTATTTTGTATTGCCAAAACTCTTTTTTATTCCTTCAATGACAGGGTGGTCCAGGTCAACCCAATTATTTGGGAAGGAATCTTTCTATGTGGATGTTGCTTGAGAGAGTGAGATTTACCTTAGATGGTGTTGAATGCAACAAAATTGGTGTCGGTTATGAGGCTTTCAATGGTCAGCCAAACTTCTGTTCAGCACCATTTTGGAGTTGCTTGCATAATCAGTTGTGGAATTTCTGGGAAGTTAGTATATAAAACTATAGTAGTTATAATTTCTTTAACTAGTTTGGTGCAAGAAATAGCAATGAAAAACTTATGATCTTCTATTTTCGTTGCTTATATATATCTTGGTCATTGTTAACTGAGAAGCCACTGCCTTATTGCTGGCAGGCTGACCAAAACCGAATTAAGAGGAAACAAGTTCCATTGTATGGCGTCCAAGGGAGATTTCAAAGGATAAATGAGCATCCGGTTAAGATTCCACAACTGTACATTCGTTCCGAGCAAGTTTCTCCACATTATAGGTGAGTTAATTTATGTTTCCCATTTGGCTGCAGGGTGCAGGGTCTCATTCATTCTCTATAGGAGTGACGGAAGTTCTTAACACAAACCTCCTAATAGAACTAAGGGCTGATGACATAGATTTCGTTTTCCAAAGGTAAGTAACGCTGCTACAATTGATAGCTATCGCATACTACAATATAGATGACTTGGACTCATTCTTATTATTTTCAGCAAATGATTCATCAAAAGCATGGATTTGCAATATTCAACTTGATTATATCAAGTCTTTGTTTACTTATCATCAAGGACAAAGTACTGAGGATTATGCTCTTTGTGTTCGACTCGCAATAGATAGACCTTTTGTTGTCCTGTATGCTTCTAGGCAATTACTTCTTACTTATACTATCACTCAAAAGCATTTTAAAGATTATTTATGGTGATTGATGTCTTTTGGTTTCATATCTAAGTGATACCCCATCTTTAATACTTTGGTCGTACTTGATGTAAATATCACATATACTTTTCACAGGAGTCCTGGAAAAATCATGAGTGTAAAAGTTCCAACATTTGAAGCCCTCACTCAGTTTGGGGTTGCCACAATTATGGTTACGAATACCGGTGAAGTAGAAGCATCATATAGCTTAACGGTACTCGGATACATACTTTTTTCTCATTATGTACATAAAGAATAAATATGAGTTTCCATTTGAACAAATATGGCGATATTGCCACAAGTTGCTCTAGTTTCAGTTATGATGAACTTTTTCCTTGTGCAGTTTGACTGCTCAAAGGGTGTCGCCCTTATGGAGGTATTTTCTCTCAACTTTTTAAAGTGTAGTGTGCGTAGTTAATCATGGCTAATCAAAAAAATATCACCAACATTGAATTTTCTGCAGGAACAATTCTTCATTATGAAGCCAAAAGAAATTTCGGCTCGATCTTTTAAAGTCTATCCAACAACTGATCAGGCTGCAAAATATGTTTGTTCTGGTAGGAATTGAAAGGAGGCTTTTAAGCCATCTTGAACCATTTTCTTTTCATATTCCCAAAATTTAACATCACTAAGATTGATACATTTCACTTAACATGCTTTTTGCTTGACATGCTGAATGCAGCTATATTGAAGGACTCTGAATTTAGTGAAGTTGACAGAGCAGAGTGCCAGTTTAGTACTACAGCTATTGTTCTTGACAATGGATCACAGGTATGATAAGTTTATGGTCTGGTGTCAAAAAGAAACGAAATTAAGGTTCGTAATCTATGCTGCACCGACTCCTTGATTTTCTTGAAGTACCAGAGTTAAACATATTTTTGGACAAGCAAATACTTGGAAACACTTGGAAAAAACACATCAAACATGTTCATATCATATCCATCACACTCCTGAGTTCGAGTAATATAGTTTTAAAAAACTGAGGATTGTTATACTTCATTTTACTGTCTGTTGAGATTCATTAACTTAGCCATGTGCATTGCGAACCATAAGCGCTGTGAACTGTACAAGTATGAGGAAAAAGTATCAGTTGGTGCTCTTCATGTCTTAAGTAAATCTCTGAAAACATCAAATTTTTTCAGATTACTCCTTTCCAACCACCAAATACCGGCGTTAATGGTTTCTTTGAATCTCTTAAGAAAATTTGGAAAAACCTGTGGGAAAGTTTGGTGGACTTCATCACCGGAGAAACTTGCAGGTCATTTAACGATTAGAATACATATTTCCATTTCTACTAAATTATGCAGTTGACTCGATGTTGAATTTCTTTCCTTTTGTTGTGTAGAAGGAAATGCTCAGGTTTTTTCGACTTCAGCTGTCATATACAATATATCTGTATGAGTTGGATTGTACTCTTCGGTTTGATCTTGGCGATATTTATGACTGGTAAACCTTCATTATTACCAAGAAACAAGTTAAGGGAGAATGCAAATAATTTGCTTATCACATCACATGGTATTTTGAATTGCAGTCCTCGTGTTGCTATGGCTCTTACACCAAAAAGGCTTCTTTGATCCTCTTTATGACTGTTTCGAGGATCATTTCGAGTTCGATCATCATGGAGCTAATGATGTCCACAGGCACGGTATCCATAATCACCGTTACCCCATTCATGCCAAAAAGCGTATCAAGACCAAGCACCACAAACATGATGCTCGATATAAACGAAGCGGCATTCACCATGATCACCGGCACAATCATTCCAAAAGGGAGGATGATTATCATCATTACCTGCATCATGTTCATAAGTACAAGCACAAGCACAAACATAGGCATGTCAGAAGTTCTAGCATCATACAAGAAGTCCAGTTGGATAGAAGGAAACATGATGATGTCGGACACCACAAGCATAGGAGAGCACCAGAGCTAATAGACAGACCATTGAAGCTGAGATAGAGATAGTTCATAGCAAGATGAAGTTATAATCATATCAATGGGAGGCTATTTTTCAAAATCGAAGGGCTAGATACAAATTTAAATTTCTTTTTATTTAAATGTAATATATCGAGTTCGATCAAATAAACCAAATTAAATATTATAGGGATTTATTATTCGAATCTGAATCCATTATAATTGTATTTACGGACAGTAAAATTGCTTAAATAAGATGTACCATAAACTATTTTATGATCTAGAGTGATTGCTATAGTAACCCGAAAATCTCGTTAGGATTTCATGACGATTTCATGAGAACACGATAATTTTATGATCTCGTTATGTTTGCAAGACGAGTTTCCATGCTGCTTATTGCATGTTACCTGACAGCAGTGCAATTCAGACGCAATGGAGAATGGGGAAGTCGTCATGCACACATATCAATATATATATTAACCCTACCGTCCGTGGTCTATTCTTAAAGAAGGCTAGCTATAGTTTCGGCCCAAAACAAATAATTTAAACAGAGAAGCCCAACCAGCCCACGAAGAGCTTTAAGAGTGGCCTGTGGTTAGGTCAGGTCTGGCAGTAGCTTCTTCTTTATCAAGTTGGCTCTTTCTTTGATGCGCCTTCGTTCCGCACCCTGGTCAGCTCTCTTAGTTGGTTTTGAACTTGAAACTTTTTGCACTCTCATCGAGGAGAATGAAGAAACCCTTTAACTCCATTGCAACTTCAAGCAAAACCCACTTCGAAGAAAGTGAAGAAGACGATGAAGGAGAAGGAGAGATGGAATCTCCATCCGAAGAAGAGAACTCTGATGACTCCATTGCTTCCGATGAAGTAGGTATATTTTACCATAGCTTAAAATCTTATTCTTCCAATCTTCAACTGATTATATTGCGTTTGTGTTTCTGGGAGAGTTGTAGGAGGAAGAGATAGAGCGCGAGTTAGCAGAAGTTACATTCGAAGAGCTACAAAAGGCACGAGCCGATGGTACGGATTCAGTTTCTCGTAAACCCCGTTCAGATGCCAAGCACCGTCGCGCTAACAAGAATAGGTATCCTTTTTTACGATTTGAGAAATAAGTTTTTTTACTTCCTTTTATGGCAATTTATGTTTTTGTTTTTTGGGTTTTGGTTTGTGTTTTATATAGGCCGATGGAACTCAGTAGCAAGAAACCAGTGATGTCTTTTGGACAAGTTATTCAAGCTCCTAAAAAGGTAAACCGAGTTTCTTTAAGCTTTTGCTTTTGTTTTGAATGTAATAAGAATAACATATTAAATAGTGTAATTGTGGTTTTGCTTGCCTAAATTAATGATCTTTTGGTTTTGAAGTATCTTAGTTTTTCTTTAATGCAATTATGCGCCGGGTTGGTTACCTTTGTAAGATCTTAATTGTGTCCCTGTTATTCGAGCTTATAATTTCACTTAAACTGTTGAAGTTGGTCTTATGATTTATGTTGAGATTTTTTTTTCTTCTGTTTTCAGCTTTTGTGCTTATAATTGATGTTAATATGATTTGCTTGTAAGTGGCATTCATGACCCTTCCCTAAAGTTCTATATCTCGATTGGTGTAATAAATATTGTTTTCTTAAGAAAAAAATAGTATGCTCCCTGTTGTTTTGTAAATGTCACATGTCTAGTAATTTAGGCCATTTTTAGTTGCCTGTCCTCGCTAAATGTTTTTTTGTGTGGCTAATTTATGTGCACAAGACTCCAGTTATTGTAGCATTGATCCTGATGGAAATCGCAATAATAATGTTCTCTCTTTTTGGGAAAGGGTATCACATACTGGTTCTTGTTTTCAATAGTTAAAGAGAATAGAACATTAAAAGGTGAATTGAATCTGTTTGCTTCTTTCTGTTCAGGTGTCACGAGACCCCCGTTTCGAATCTTTATGTGGTAAACTTGATGTCGATGGGTTAGTCTCTTCTCTCTTTATCATTCAATCATTTACATTGATTTCATTTGTTGCTTTAACTACATTGGTCCCGTTGCAACTGTTATTACCCTACACAAAGTTTAACTACTCTTACCTGTGCGTATCAGTCAAGTGGGATGAGGAGTTTTTCATGGATTAGTCGTTAGTAATCTATTCCATGATCTTTAAGGACAACTCTTTGATTGGTCGGCTGAGCTTCATACGTTATTGTATTAAATCCAACACAAATATGTTACTGAAATTTAATGAGTATTGCCTGAAATCTTGATTACCTTTTACCAGTCTATGGAGCTTTACTTTGATAGTAGTCTACTTTACCATGTGACCACATCTCATATGTGCCCATAATAGTTCAATAGTAACGATCAACCTCTTGGTTGAGGTAGTAGCATTTGATGGTTGTCACTTTCTACTTTCCGGATTATGCCTGTCGTTGGCAAATTGGCTTTTCCTTAGCCCGCAACTGATGATTTTTTTTTATTTTGCAGATTCAGAAAAAGATATAATTTTCTGTTTCAGAACAACCTACCAGCTGAAAGAGAGGTATTCTAATCTATTTGACCTCTTCTTTGGGTTTATACCGTCATTTTTCAACGATGTATTTCCCGGATGTGACAGGAGGTGCAGAAACGACTAAAAAAAACCAAAGATCCCAAAGTCATTAATGAACTGAAGAACCATATTTCTTGGATTGTAAGTAATTTATCTATTCAATAGAAACCACTTCAGTCTCCAGGGTCTTCTATATGGCCCCTGGATGCATCAGAGCACCTCCCTATCAACTTATTTACGTTGGATCACGAATCAGGATAAGCAATTAAAGTTTGAGTCAGCAAAAAATACTGATGCAGAGATTCTGGCTGCACACAAGAAGAAAGAAAAAGAAGCAGCAAAGCATGGGAAGCGCCCTTTCTATCTTAAGAAATGTAATGTCAAGAATCCTCTCACTCTCACTATTGCTTTTGGAATCTTGTGTTAGACTATAATATAGGAAACCGTCCAGACTGTTATTATTTTAGCTTTCTAACCTTTCACAGAATGTTGTATCATGTTGATTATGCATGTATGATTGTTCCTATGAATCCATTTTAATGGATGCTAATTTGGATTACTCCTTTGCAGCTGAAATTCGGAAGCAAAGGCTTATCGAGAAGTATAAAAAGCTCAAGGTACACATTCAACATACCTTGTAATTTAAACTTGTTCCCTATGACATCAACTCTCTCAACTAATTAATCATATCGATGATGTATCATCAGGCATCCGGCAAACTCGAATCCTTCATCGAGAAAAAGAGAAGGAAGAATGCTGCCAAGGATCATAGGTTCATGCCCTATCGTAGACCCAACAACAGCGAGCAACAAAGTTAATGATTCCACAGGTTTTTGGTCTGTATTTATGCAGTCCTCCATTTTGGATGGATATGACTTGCCCTCTATTGGTGGTGTTGAGATGAGATTAGGGTTTATTATTCTAAAAAAATGTTCGGAGTAATTAGTTTATTATTGTTTTAGTAGATTTTTCTGTAATTTTGAGATATTTCCTCCTTATTTTATATAAAACTAACAGTTATTATTTGTTCAAAAATAATAATACACCCGTTTGTACTTTTTAATTCAATGGTTGATTTTGATTGTCATGTGTTTTTTTGACAAAAGATCGTCATTTATGTGTATGTATTGATAACATTTATTATTTAAATTATATATTATACTGGTTAATTTTAATTATAGCAACACTTATAGTTTAACTTTAAAAATATATTTATATATAATTGTAATTAAATTTAAATAATAAATCGGAACAACTAATAAATTAAAAAAAATCTAAATAGAGAAAAAGGAAGCCTAAACTGGGCCCTGAAGTCTAAACTCTAATTGGACCAACGGTAACAAAACAGAAGACCCGCCTCTAAACGCAGCGTTTAGAGTTTACATGATGGTGGACCAAACGACGGTTGGTCGGTAAATAAAATACTCGGCGATTATCAGAACAACGGTCATAGTATTACCCTTCTCAGGCAAAAACAGAGTCGCTAAACGAAACACAAAAAGAAAACCAGTTGATCCAAACACAGATAACAGCAAACATGGGACTCGGTAATAGAACACTGCAAGAATCCTGGAACTTCTCAGTTCTGTCTTTTATATATATATATAGATTTTGTATGAGGTTTAACGTTCTGTTGATTCTCAGGGGAAAGGGGTAGACCTAGCAAAAAGCTTAAAATTTATGTGAAGGTCATCCAAAATCCTCTGCCTTTTCGATTTTTACATAGAATTAATGGGTTTTTTCTTTTCATTTTCCTTACAAAAGCATGTTTTTTTTCTTTCTTATGTTTTCTTGCAGGATTATCATAGGAGCTCAGCTGTTGAAGATGCGAATTCGTTTTATCCTGACGAAGGGGACGATGATTCTCGTGATAGTAACCATTTCTTCGTTCTATTTTTTGACAAATTTGAGTTTGTCTTTGTGGAGGCATAATATTATATGATTGAATTTGAAGGTGAAAAAGAAGGGAAGAGGAGAGATTTTAATAAATTAGAACTAAAGCCCGACCACGCGAATAGACCGTTATGGGCTTGTGCCGACGGGGCGTATTTTCTTGGAGACATTCTCTCCTTTGTACAAGCAAGCTTATGATTTTCTCATTGCTATAGCCGAACCTGTTTGCAGGTATTGATGTTGAATTGTTTTTCTTGTTGTTTGCTTATTTGGATGCATCTCTTTATGTGGTTATGGATGTGAATTTTCCATTTATGTAGACCGGAGTCGATGCACGAGTACAATCTAACGCCACATTCTCTGTATGCTGCCGTATCCGTGGGGCTGGAAACGGAAACCATTATATCGGTGTTGGATAAACTGTCCAAGACCAAGCTTCCTAAAGAAATTATTGATTTCATACATGCTTCTACTGCTAATTATGGCAAAGTCAAGCTCGTGCTCAAGAAGAATCGTTACTTTATCGAATCCTCATTTCCTGGGGCAAGTTGGTCATTGTTTTTGATGATTGCATGATTTATCGAAATTTATGGGTTATTTGGTATTCGTTATTTGTTGATGTCGATCGCTGCAGGTACTGAAGAAACTGCTGCAAGATGAGGTTATAGCTCGAGCTAGTA